CTGTCAGCTGTCCTCCACGCATGAATTTGCACTGTAATCCGTCGTATGAATTTCACATGATGTTGACGATTATCTCACATACACCATAGTGCCGAAGAAGGTCCCATAAAGTCCTCCTGTCCACACTGTCAAACGCTTTCTCATATTCATGGACGTTAATGCATAGTGACAAATCTCATTGAAATAATTGTTCAACGATGATCCGTAGTGTCGCTATTTGGTTTGTGTGCGATCGATTCTTGTGGAATCCCGTCTGTTCATCTCGAAGTTGAGAGTCTACTGAATTTTTCATGTGGTTCAATCTGTTGAAAACTTTGGCTAGTACTGGCAGTAGTGTGGTGCCTCAATAGCTCTCACACTTGCTCAAATTTCCTTTCTTTGGCATCTTAATGAGATACCCTTCTTTTCAGCTTGTCGGCACTTGTTCCCTCTCCCAAATCTTCCTGAGTAGGACGTGGAGTTATGGTCTACTTTGATATTACTACTGCTCTAATAATAGATCTAATCCTGAAGTTGTAGATTTGTCATGATGTAACTGCCTAATCTATAAGATCTTACTTGGAAGTCACGTCAGTTTACACCAACTCATCGCATCGTAGCAATCACCAATATATGAAGGAGAACAAACTTAGGCTAGAGATAGAACAATATATTTAATATCAATAAAAGATATAAGACAACACTCGAGAGTGACCACGCCTGCAATGCCAAGCCATGCCATCCGATTGATCAATTAATTGAGTTTATTCTTCCCTCCTTCTCCATCCTTGTGTTTTTCTCCGCGTTAAATGCTGAATGTCTATTTTCTAAGTTGTCTCGTGTTCAGATTTGAGGATTGTGAGGTTAGGGCCTAATGCCACTACATATCTTCGCAGTTACTTGTATATCTGATTTCAATGTTTTGGCCAGCATATTGTCAGGTCCAACCGCTTTCCAACACTTGATTTGTCTGACGGTCATCCTGATTTCTTCGATCGTCAGTGGAGTGACATCTATAGGAAGGTCTGTGTGTGCTGCTTAGATATCCAGAAAATTTAATGTGGCTGATCTATTCAAGAACTCCTCGAAGTATTCTACACATCTACTTCTTTGTTCTTCAATATCAGTGATTGTCTTTCGTTCCCTGTTCTTGACTGATCTCTCTGGTTTATTATACTTCCGTGCTAGTTTCATTTTTGTATTATATAGCTGTATCATATTTCCTTTTATTGCAGCGTTTCCGGCTGTCATTGCCGGCTCTTTCAGGTATTTCTGCTTGTTGTTTGTTTGTTTCAATGCATTCGGCTTGTGTCTTTACTTTCTCTGCCCTTTTTCGGCTGTTGTTAATTACTTTCTTCTTATTCTTCCCTTCTTGAATCTTCCCCCGGGTTTCAACAGAGATCCATTCCTTATGACGATGATGCTCCTTGAGGCCCAGAACCTCCTGGTACGTTGTTGTTTGATTCCCCTCCATTTGTCCTTCATAGCAGACTCCTCTTTTTCCAGTACATCATGTAATGCTTGGAACCTGTTGTTGAGAGTTATCCTGAATCCGTTGAGCTTGTGAGTATTTCGAAGGAAGGCTCTATTGAATCTTTGTAATACTGCTCTCTTAGTTGTCCAATACTTCTTTGGCTTTGGTTTCGTTTCAGGAACAACCAGGTGATGATATGAAGCTATGCTAGTTCCTCTACTTATTCTCTTGTCTTCCCATGACTTACTGAATTTTTTACTGATGCAAATACGCTCTATCTGGTTCTCTGTAGTGTGACCCATCTAGATTTGTGTATACTTTTGTTGAGGGATATAGTGCCAACTATAACTATTTTTTAAAACATAAATTTGTGAATCTGTCGCAACTCTCGTTTCTTTCTCTCAGTCCATGTTGTCCCACTGTATCTTCATAACCGCTGTTGTCTATCTCGACTTTGGTGTTTAGTTCTTCTATCAGGATGGTCATGTCCTTTCCTGATCACTACGCTATGATCAATTTCAGCCTTTCATGAAACAGATCTTTACCGTTTTCATTGCTTTTACTAGTTGGTGCATAACATAGAATAACATTCATTGTGGTCCCACTTCTTTGTTCTGGATGATGTTTTGATTATTATAGATCCATGAGATTCCTATCCTATAAGCGCATTACGTGCTTTTGTGGACAACATCAGAGCAACTCTCTCAGTGTGCGGAGCATTTTCTTCTTTATGACGAGAGTAGAGCAGCATCCCTTCCAAATTTATCCTTTTTTATCCAGCTTAGGTCCAATTTGTTTCACTGATTTCGATCACCATCAAGTTGTATCTCCTCATTTCCGTAACTGTTTGACTGGCCCTCCCAGTCTCGCATATTGTTCCTCTGCTTGCTAGAGGGAGCATCTTTTTCGTGACTTCCGATGAATCTCGATTTTATCCATAAGGAGTCATGATTCTTCTGAATGAAGATCCTTCAAGTCGAGGTCAGGATTTGAACGGTTTAAATTGTTTGTAGAAAAGTTGTTTTCTACGTGATGGGGTTGCTGAATCTACGCCCAACCCCCTTCGTTTACCCGAGCTTACGACTGACGGAGTTAAATAAACTGATATATACAGGACATTGAATGATTACAAGTGACTACTGTTAATATACTTATATAAGTTGAATTAAGTACTTTGTGAACTTGGTAATATGGTAGTGTTGCACTGCAGGATCTCCAGAAGTTTATTGATTATGGTGAGTTCATAGATAATCGTTTTAAAAGTGATTGATTACTCTGTAATCTTGTCTAATTTTTAAAACTGACAGATGTCTCCTGCCAGTCAAGTTGTAACGGGACCACTAGGTTAAGTGAATTGAAATCATAGTGCACTTTGTTTAATATAAAGTGATTAGAGCCTATCGGTAGAAAATTTTGACTTATGTTTCTTGTCAGCTGGTAATTATCAATAATAGCGAACCTTCAAACTTGAGAAAACTAATGTTATCTATGGTAATCAAGCATGTATCATCCAGTCTCATAGTTATAGACTTTACCATGTGAGTGTTTGTACAAACAATTAGCCTCCTGTAAGGCTTGGATGTTTACAACAGCTACTAACGTTTGTCATATATTCTAGCCCCTAGTGATCATCCATACTTAACTAATTAAATAAATATTTCATACAAACAGCCTGTTAAATAACTATTAAAGTGTTGTACGGGAAATAAACGATACATTTCACTGAAGCCTTTGTTGTATAAAGCTCTGTGTCGTCGCTTGACTCAGTTAGCAAATGATTTTTTTTCTTAAACATAATTCATGTTACTTTTTATTATTAGCCATTGAATGTTATTCGTAAAATCGTTAGTAAGCTCTTACATTGATTCGTGGTTATATATTTCACATGAACAATTATGCAAATAATATTTATACAAGATTGAATATACACACTTGTTAGTAATCATCTACTAATTTTGAACAATGGAAGATTTGATAAAAACTATTGGTTATTTGACTGTTATGCTTTTAGAGGTTAATTCAATTAGTAGATATTTCTCATTACGAAATCATATCAGTTGGAAAACCTAGTAGAAATCTGAGAGCACATGATTGGTATTTTGAGAAGGGTTCCCAGCACTTTTAACAGAACACTATGATCTGCGAGTTTACACAAGTGCATGCTAGTGTAGTGAACAGAACACGGGTAGGGACAATCGAATGTAATTAACACAAAACTACATGACTTATTAATAAAATCTAACAATCATAAAGTAAATGCTTAATTTGCAAAATGTCTATCGATTGTTTCAAAATGACTCAGATTTCATTGTTCTTGCATTTTCATACAAATTGCATCCTGTTTCCATTCTTTACTGTTCGATTATCTTGTCTCTCTGCTGCCACACCTTCTGTTCACGACTAACATCATATACTACTTATGTCAATATAAGTAGCACACACCATACTAGTACTATTGTAATTTATAAGTAATATTAAATGAAATTAGTACATAATTGTAAAATAACTGAAATCAAACGTGTGTAAACTTTTAGTTTCCAATATCACTGACTGATTGGTATCATGTTCGTTGCAAAATTTAAAAGTATTTGGGTTTGACACAAAGTAAGGCCTCATGTGTATGTGTTTACTCCTAAAAAGTCCTATAGACTAGAACAAAACAACCATTTATTAATTTCTGTTTTCGTGTAAATCTAAACATTCTTTCAAAAGCATAATCTCATTCGAGTTTTATTTTGGAATCATAGTTCATTTGTTTCAAACTACTAATTACAATCATTTTATGTTAATATATCATAATATGCTATATCCTAGCGAAGAATAAATTACGAGTAACTTCTGAGAACTATTAGCGGACTAATATTATCCAAATAATCTTATAGTATAACTGTTCAGTAATTCGATTATGTATATTTATATTCCCCTTATTATAAGCTTCATTTATACCTATTATTTATCATTATACGATTTATTGTTCTTAAGTTATATTCAGTTTATTAATTACAGTCTCCTACGTTCATAACCACTTTTTGGCTTGATGTTTTATAGATTTTATTTCCTATTTTATGGTGCGATGCCGTCTGTTTAGTTGATATATAAACCAAGTATATTTCAAATAAATGATTCTCATAACAAGAACTGTTATCGGTGTGTTGACCTCAATTAGATGGACTAGGCTAGTAAAGGACTAATAAGTACATTAGGCTGATCAAACCGGTTGAACATCATTGGTTTAATACAATACAAGTCATATTTTGATTGACGAATAAATTACATAATAACTAACCTGAATTATAGTCACAACATTATCCCACATCTCTAATTAACTGTAATTATCTTTAATTATTAAATTTATAATATTCATTATTATATAATGTATCACTTAAATTTAAATATAAACAGGAAGTTATTTAATAAATAAGAATAAACTAAAACATTGATAATTACAATATAAAATGTAATGAATCACTATATGGTAGTTTTTAAATTAAAAAAAGTCAACAAATGAATATACATATGAGAAATCTGTATGTTATTAAAATCTATCACAATATAAGGAACATGGAAAGTTATTACAACATTAATCGACAATGTTAATGTTGTATTGGATTAAATTTAGTAAATGTAAGAATTTCTTTATATAAACTATCAACTGTCCAATCTCTTGTCAGTATTAATTATTTACTTATTACTTACTTACTTACGCCTGTTACTCCCAGTTGAGCATAGGATGCCGACCATCATTCTTCAACCCACTCTGTCCATGAGCCTTCCTTTCTAGTTCTGTCCAATTTTTGTTCATTTTTCTCATGTCTGTCTCGATTTCTCGGCGTAGTGTGTTCTTTAGTCTTCCTCTTTTCCTTTGGCCTTGAGGATTCCATGTGAAAACTTGCCTTGTGACGCAGTTGGGTGCTTTCCTCAATGTGTGTCTTATCCACTTCCAGCGCTTCTTTCTGATTTCTTCCTCTGCTGGCATCTGGTTTGTTCTTTCCCACAGTAGGTTGTTGCTAATAGTGTCTGGCCAACTGATCCAAAGTATTTTTCGTAGACAACTGTTAATAAACACTTGTATCTTCTGGATGATGACTTTCGTAGTTCTCCAGGTTTCTGCCCCATACAGTAGAACTGTCTTGACATTTGTATTGAAAATTCTGACTTTGGTGTTGGTTGATAGTTGTTTTTAGTTCCAAATGTTCTTCAGTTTTAGATATGCTTCTCTTGTTTTGCTGATACGCGCCTTCAATTAGATACTCATGCTTAATATTAATTTTACTAAAACATAACAAATAAATTATAATTTGATTGTGAGTAATTATAGAATTCAAGAGTTGTGTTTCATCCTAAATATAACTTGTCCCTTAGCTGTATATACATCTATTTGTTCATTTTTACTTTAAGAATTTAATTTAATAACTTACGCTTCAAATATTGATTCATTATCCCTTAAGTTATTGAGTTCGAATGGCTATTAGATTGTTAAACAGGTATATTACTAACCGAATAAAATGAAATCATATGATGAAATAAGAACATCAAGACAATACTCACAGAATGAACATATCCTAATAGAAAGTAATTAATTAAATTCATTAAAATCGATAACAATATCAAAAACAAACCACTGTTTATAGTATACTGGATATGTTCTGAAACGATTTCTATATAGTACAATAGAAGATTACTAACAGCATCTATGAAATATTTGTAATAGCTTTATGTTAATATAGATAAATTCAGAATTCGTAAACGTTAGGGTGATTGGAGATAGTCGTTGGGATATATTGATTTATATTTTGTGCTAGTCGGCACACTCCAGTAAGGCTTAAGTGAAATATTGACAGAATTGTTTTACTCGTATGTATGTCACTCTGGTTCACATTCAACTGTTGCCTCTGAGCTATTAGGTCATAGAATGTCAAGTCATTCAGACAAGTGACTACATTCCAGCTTAATCGATATCATTCAGTTAATACTGAAGGACTAAACAAACATGATATTGTTCAGTACTCAGTGATTTGTCAATTGTAAACTGTCGAAAAACTCAGATTGGGACTAGCTGAATTGTGATCAGTTCCTGAATTTTTATTCCTTCTCAGACCGATATCTGTGTACGGTAACAGTAATCTATAAAAAATAGTAATTGTTTGGATAGAATTAAATGACACTATATATTCAGTTTGTTTGTATTTTTACTGTCTTTTGTTTTGTTATAATGATTGAAATTTTTCATGTTTCACCAGTTTCAACATCGAAATTTAATTATTTCTTTGTTGTATTAAATAACCATTTAGTCTAGAATGACATCAACTGTAGAATTATAATTAAAGTCGAGAAAATAGCAGATCGTTATCCCTCAACAGTGTTTAAAACATAGGACAGCTTTCCAGTGTTCTTATAGTATACTAATGTTCTCTTTTCAGTTCATGAGACGTTAATGTTTGTTTGCAGAGATAATCCATTCAAGGGAATAAATTCATTGTATCAAGTATTTCAGTGAGTCCTGTAAAAACTGTAAGGTTAGCTCAAAGTTAAAATATTTTATGACTTGTGTTATTGAAAACCGGATGTATGAGGTAACTTATATCTTCCGATAATTGGTGATGAACACGATTCTAACTAAACATTTAAGTTTAAGAAAAATATCAGCTACAAAAAATCGACAGAGCATCCTGAAGGAGGATTTACAAAGTTTGACTGGATAAAGAAATCAGAGATAGAATAAGCATACTTTTACAAAATGGCTATATTTTTAAAAGGATGGTCGTTCATCTACCTTAAAGTTGGCTAAATAAAGTTTTAGAAACCTGGTGAAGTTGTTTTACGATTTTTGAAAGATTATGTTCTGCTAAATAGCACTTTTTGTATTATACAAATATTTCATGTATAGCTTATTAGCTAATTGGTATTTAATGTTATAAGTGATTCAAATATTATATATGAGATCAATCAATCCTTACCCGCTAGTTCATTAGATGATAGTATGAGTCAAACAATTTAAACTCCTGGTAATTAAATCATTGATTTAACTATATGAAGCAGTTATGATTAATGTGTAAGCTTCAAACAATCATATCGATTAGTATTATACCATATAAATGTGCTTCTGAATTAAGAAAAAAACAAGTAAACATTTCATGTGATTAGTAAATTAATCGTTTCCAACCGAGAACACAACTAACCAGACAAAAATCTCTAGAAGCAAAAAATTTTTGCATTTGACTCATTATATTACTGAATTCGGGTTATTTCATATATTTATTATTATATCTGTTATGTAGATCAGATCATTGGTTGTATTTTCGTTTTGGTTTATCACAAATAGAAATACGTATGTTATACTTTTTTTTACCAGTTTTCGTACTCATGTAATAGTAAGATATTGTAATATCTATTAGAAAATGATTACATAATATCGAAAATTAGTTAAGATTAAATATGTTAGCTATTGGATAACGACTTAGTAGTTTAAAGATTAACCGTTCTTCTCGAAATCTAAAGATTTTGTGTTAAATCCATAGCGCAGCCATGATTGCCCACGTGTGAAGAGTCACGTATAAGGACGAAACAACTATCTAATGTTTCCTAGGTTCCAGTAATTGTCTAACTAAAGTAAATTCGTGATGTACGTTCAATAATTTCAGCAAATCCCCTGTACTACTAATATAAATTCATTAAGACTGATTAAATATATCGATATTTTTTCTTCCCTTCCTTTTCAGCTTGCTTTTAATTTCAGGATTGAATTCATTTCAATATGGGATTAACATGGCGTTTACGTTTATCATATGCAATTGGACATGTTTTAAATGATTTATGCGCATCTGTATGGTTTACATATACTTTGGTATTTTTTAAATTTGGCATTAGTATACCAACAAGTATGGCTGGTTTAATAATACTTGTTGGCCAATTGGTTGATGGTTTAATGACACCAGTAATTGGTCTACTTTCGGACAGATTTTCATCTCAGTCATCTGTACCATTGTTAATATCATCTTCTTCCCATTCTTTGTCAGCATCATCATCAGTTACACATAATAATTTCAATGATCGTTTGCATAATTCTAATGAACATTTAGCCAATCATAATAAAAACTACATGTCTACAGACTCTTCTGATGTTATTCATTCTACTGGTAATAATAATAATAATTCATCTTTTTTCCAACGATTCAACTCTGTTCTAAGAAGATTTCGACCATTCGGTCGTAAAATATGGCATCTTTGCGGAAGTATATTAATTATTTTTTCATTTCCTTTAATATTTGGTCCACCACTTGGTTCATCCAATATTAGTACACTGGCAAAAATGATTTACTATTTACCATTAGTGGCAATTTTTCAAGTAAGTTATTCGTATTTTATTTAATTGTTAGTTTTATAACTGATTTACTGATGCCTTAAATACAAATTTTATGTACTCAATTTTGAGCTATACTTTTGTTGCTTGATGGCTAGCTATACCACCCTATTAAATAAATTAAGTGAAGGGAGATATGAATCTACCAGTTGAAAGTCAAATATTTAAAACTTTATGCCACCGCTTCGCAATTGATTGTGTAAGGATTTTATTCAGGACAAATATTTTTCAATTCATGAAATACCAAATAGGACTAAACGCGCGTCCTGGATCCCACTGCTAGCCACTATCCGTCATTGCTTACAAATAGCTTGTAAACTAATTGTTGGCTTTAAATTCCTTTCTTTATTTTACTTCGCTTAGTTATATGTCCAAGTTTTACAAAAAATGAGAACTCCTCTCTAATTTGTACTTTATCACTTAACCTCTGATATAACTACCTAAGGGATAAAACACTTGGTTTTGGACAACCAGGATGTTGGTTCAAAACTGATAGGATCTTGACAACTGGGTAAAAGTTTCACCAAGCCTCATATATGGTATGGGGCTTTAAGCCACATAGAAATAGCTAATTGTAAATATGTCACACTAAATTACAAGTTGAACCTTGTAATTACTCCATTTAAACTATGTAGTTTTTTTAGAAAAAAATTTAATTGATAAATTTTGTAGTGAATGAACATAGTTTCTGTGATTTGTTCATCCCAAATTTATTCGAAAATATCGATATTATTTCAGTCATTTTGCAGTTAATCACTTTTTGTTATTAATGTAAACTGGTAAAATGAGAGAAGGTTAAGTACTTTGAGTGCATAAGTTAAACGGTTAGAGGAGTTATTATTAAGCTGTTCAAACCCTGATCAACTCTCCATTCCAGTGTGAACATCAATACTGAGATGCAAGTAAATCCAATGACGAGTCTCATATAAGATGAAGTGTGTGTCTTAGATTCCGCTTCTAGTCGTAAATCCGTTTAATCTTCACCTGTTCGTGTTTGAAACATAAGTTTCATTGCAAGGTTTTATACCTTGTCACTTGGTAATGTATATATATCTATAAATTACGTTCTGTAAAAATTTGACCAGTATGAATAGTATTAGTTTTTATGTCGTGAGATAAGGGCAATAACATTATGGTACTGTTCAATAGACGAACAGCACAACTTCTTTATGCTTCTGTCACCAGCTCTTACTGGGTACCTTCGAAGAAAGAACTAATAATAAGGGTCAAAGTAAAACTATTCAAGCAATTATACTCTAAATAAGGTGAAATTATAGTACACTAAAAAGTCCGCAGGACGATATGAAAATATCTTCTTTCATAGCAGCAAAAAAGGTTTTTATTAAAAACTTTAGAGCGAAAAAACGCAATTCAAACTTAAAAATGATCATTTTGTAGGTGATTTCGCGATGTAAATCACACCCTAACATTCAACCCTCATCCATAAAATGTACGGAAAAATCATTTAAAGTTTTGGATACAACACAATTTATTATTGAGATCATGAACCGATTGATGTTAGACCACCTTTGGAAACCTGGAAGCACTGGACGGCCGTTTCGTCCTATTGTGGGACTCCTCAGCAGGGCGCATCCACGATCCCGCTCGCGGGTTTCAAACCCAGGGCCTTCGGTCTTGCTCGCGAACGCTTAACCTACTGGACCACTGAGCCGGCATCCAATGATGTTAGTGTTTAACATGATCTCAATCAAAAACTTAATAATCTCCACAACCCCCTCCTATACTAGTATATAACACAATTATTGGACATTTTAAGTGTTGCAAATAAATTCGGGTTATACTACTGAAATATAACCAACTATTTTTTTAAAAAAATTCAGTATTTGGTCATAGAAAACATAAAATTAATCAATCCATTGTTTATGGGGCTGTTTTTAGGCTGGATGGGCCGCAGTTCAGATTACTCACTTGGCATTAATCAATGAATTATCTATGGAATCTAGTGAACGTACTTTATTGACTTCCCTACGTTATTTATTCACAGTTCTTAGTAATCTACTTGTTTATATTAGTACATTTCTTCTTTTACAACATCAAAATCATGTTGATAATAACAGTAATAACATTCGTAATGATACTAGTATTAAAAATTCAATGAATGATATGTTACCGTTGAGAAAATTGCTTAATTACAATGAAGTTGAATATATTATGTTACCTATGGTAATGACTTCACATCCATTATCGAAATGTTCAAATTCCTCACTATCTTCACCGTCCATTATTGATTTTGGTAAAGATGATATACCAGCTTTTCAAAAGTTAGGTTTTACAATTATTGGTGTTGGGGGATTAACAATGTTATTATTTCATTTTGGAGTAAGAAAGAAAGATTTTATTCACAATGTACGACCTATAACTGTTGGTAAGTATTGTTTTGAATGTATATGATTGTGTAATTTGTCCATATAGCTTAAATGAAATATTGATAAAAAAATAAAAGAATTATATTTTTTAGAGCAGAGATGGATCGTGATTAGCAGTGGAGTGGGTTCGAGTACCGGGGTGGACATTAACTCTACAATGGAGGTACATTCAGTTGATGAGTCCCAAATAGGACGAGATGCTCGTTCTTAACTCCACTGCTAGCCAACATCCGTCTATGATTAAAAGAATAAAATAAATTCACGTGAATTACTGGCCATATCTAGACAATCTGCACAGGATGAACATATGTCAAAAGAGATTGATCGATTGTAGTCGTAAACATCAATAGTAAGTTTCAAACGACGGTTATACAGAAGTGAAACAATTATAGTTGGTGTTTTCTACAGTGTAACGAGAATCATTGTTATCGTGATTTAATATCACCATAGTTTTGAGTTTTAAAGCGATTTGCACTTTCAAACTTTTCTAGCTTTTTAAACCCAATAATTTCTAGTCCTTGTTGTATGTACTATACAATATAATACTGTTAAAACTAAGTGAACATTAATTTATTACATGACGCTATTACTTAAGATATAGTAATTGACTACAAGAATTAATACTTACTGTTTTGTTATTAATAGAGCCAAAAGTATAAATATTGGAGTTTTTTATTCTGTACTAGACGGTATGAACGACATATTTTCCCATATTTAAGTTGAATAAACAAAACTGATTTTATAATTTTTACTACTAAGACATTTTTTTCCACCTAAGTTTATATTTGACCACTATTACCTACATCAATATAAGCCCTGGCTTGAAACACATCACACTGCTCATTGTGCGTTCATACATAATGTCATAGTGTAGAAACTTACTACATAGAATCTGTGAATGACTATACTGATTTGACCGGTAATACGTCCGCAGAACTGATCCGTATATCTAATTTGAGTCTATTTTTGGAGATATAATCATTGATCAAGTAACTTCATAAATTGGTGAATTGAAACTGCTACCAATTAGACTTAATTACGTATCAGCTAACAAATTGTTGATTATAAGAGAAAATGGATCACAAAATAAATTCACTTTTGTTTTTCCTTACGAAAAATCGATGAATCAATTGAATTTTTTTATCTAATGGCCTACTCCTGGCTACGAGATCATTCTTTCACATAAAATATCTGTTTTAAGTGGATTGATGATTAAATAACTGGTAAAATCATCGTCTCCGTTATATTCAGTGAACGTTGACTGTAGATTGCTGTGCACTGATATTCCGTTTATCGCATCTGTTGATTAGGTAATGATTTCTTTGAAGGATTTACGGAAATTTCATTATTTAGAACACTTTGGTGAAGTTATGGACGTTCTCTATTGAGGAGTATTACACTGGGACGAAACAGCTATCCAGTGCTTCCTGGTTTCCAACAACTGTTTAACTAAGATTGGTCCCTGGCTGAACTATAAACAATGATTATTTAGCTAGGACGATATATATATATATATATATATATATATATATATATATATAGAGAGAGAGAGAGAGAGAGAGAGGGCAATAATGAAGGCAATTCGTCTGTTACATTACTATTCTTCTTCAAGTAATTACGTGCGTGACTATAATGTGTTTAAGAAATTAGATTAATATTTCTGACTTGATTTACAATTGATTTTACTTAAAACCGAATCAGTGTTGTGTATGTCTATTCATTACGTATTATTTACTCAAGTAAAATGAATCAATATTATCATATGAATTAGAACTTTCATATATTGGCGTCCATACTTATAGTTGATAACCATTGTATATAATATAGTATTGTATATAACATAGTGTTAATGTAGCAGTGCATTGGAAGGGACCTCATGGCAATCACAAAAAGATACCATTACTGATAAATGTAAAAGCACTTATTTAACTGTATAACTTATGTGTGGAGTTTATGGGTTTGAATGTATTGTAATCTACTGCTCAATAATGATGCTACTTTAGGGCTGGAAACGAGGATTTTAAAATCGATATTTGATCGTTAAAATCTCTTAGTGTTATTTGGTTACAAGTAACATCCTAGTTTGTAGAAGTGTAAATAGATATCGTGAATATTACACATCAGTGGTAATATGTTCAGTCGTCAGCTAACTGAAGCACATCGATACCGACCGTCAGATTCGAACTCAGATCGCTGGCGTCACTAATAGTTCCCTAACGAGTACCAACAATCGCCAAACCTAGATATATGATTTATTGCTGACTACCTTCAATCACCTAATATCTCCACACGGTATATGCGATCTTACATCACTCACCTTGAAACATAACCAATAGAATTCAATCAGTAGTACAAACTAGAAATCACGATATCTTTCACTAATTATCAATCAATCAAGTGTACAGAGAACGTTCATTTAAAAAAAGTTATCACAATGAAGTATTTTTCATCGTACATTAATATCTCCTGAGGAACTATAATTAAAAAAAAACTAGAAAGGATATTTTTATGGTCAAAACTCCATAATAAATAATTTCGTGGGATTGAACCCATAAACCTTATCACTTAAGATAATTACGATATTAATTAGCTACTGAATCTCAAATTAATAATGTGACTTTATTCAGTTCACAATACATACGATGTTACTCAATCTTATTTTCGTAGACTAGACTACAAAAATTTACAACAAATAGTGAATCGTGGCGCAATTTCGTAGATTGCTTGAAGTTAAACATTAGCACCGTTGAACGCCGGCCGGCTGAGTGGTCTAGAGGTTACGCGTTCGCACACGAGATCGCTAGGCCCTAGGTTCCAATCCTGCTTGGCGGGATCGTGAATGCGCACTGCTGAGGACTCCCACAATGTGACAAAATTGCCGTCCAATGTTTCTAGATTTTTCATGGTTGTCTAGCTTCAATTGGCTCATGAATTCAACTATGAAATTACTAAAATCTCCTTAAAACCCCTTCTGATAACAAACGATTTGTTTATTTCAAGTGTTATCTGAGTTGAATTAAGTTTTACGATAATAATGTTTAATTTTCCCAATTATCTAAATAGATACATTAAAAATTTGTTTAAATGTCAATGAAAATAACCGGTAAATAGTTTCTTTTTCACAATTATTCACCACTTTTACATAATTCATTCAATGAAGTGGATAATCCTAATCATGAATCTGTCAGTCAGATAAAAGATCCTGCTTACATAATTACTACATGGAAAGATTGGTTACGTTTACCATTATTTTGGATTCTTGGCTTTTTCTACATGTTTGTTAGATTAATTGTCAATGTATCACAGGCAAGTACAGTTTATTTAATGTTTTTTTTTAATATAAGAATTTCTCTATCTGAATAAATTAAAATGAACTAGAATCTATGAGAAGAAAACGATTATCATCAGTCCTCTGTACAGAACATGATTAATCAATCACAGTTAAAATAACATTGTTTGAAGGTGCTTAGAATGTTACTGTGATTTGACAGCTATGATTTATATCTCGCCTTATCTACTTCAGTTCGGATTAACGTGTATTATAACTAGACTCGTAATTAGCCATACTAATCTGTATCTGGTGTATTGAATAATAAATAAAAATTATTCATAATTCATAGCAGTACAATCTAAGAGAAAATTATCAGTATAAAAGTCGAAATCAATGTATGGAAAAATATCACAGGTTGAAATCATGATTGAATTGAAGCTAGACCACCATGGAAAACCTGGAAGCACTCCAAAGCCGTTTCGTTCTAGTATGGGACTCCTCAGCAGTGCACATACACGATCGTGGATGTCACCAAAAGTCTTCAATCATTGGTTCCGATAGTCACGCGAACCCCAACCAAGTAGTCTGCATCTATCAACATGGCTCAGACAGGAAGTTAGTTTCTTCAAACACTAGCTTCAATTGACTCATGATTTCAACCTGTGAAATTTCTAAAAATCTCCACAAAACCCATTCTGGTATGGAAAAATTATAAAAAAAGAAAAATCGAGATTGGAGAAAAAACCCTATTGAAATCGAACAATAATTAAAAAGTATACACGATTATTCGAATTGAATCTATATCAAAATCATTTATTTCGATTCATAACACTTAACATATCTAACTACTGATTGGAATTATCACATAAATTTGAAGTTGTAACTTTACATCTTTTAAAAACGCATACATCAGATTAACAATCAATGACTTAATGGTACTATGTCAGTCAGTCAGTAACAACGTAGAACTTTGTACGTACGTACATCAGTTCGAGTTGCCACACCACTATGTCTAGATTTAGTTATCATTAACTGTTTCTCAATCCGATCCTATGCTATCAACCATCGTATGTTGGAATAAATGGAGTTTAGTTACAAAAATAAACCAACATTTCATATAATTCTGGTCGTTTATATTGTAGGTAGACATTAAACGAATAAATTAAGTTTTTCTATATAAATAATTTTACAAATTTAATTTAAAATTTTGACGCATTCAACATGAATGCGAAAAGTAGTAATTCCAACCTGGAGGTATTCTGTGTATATCTATTTGTGTATGAAGAATTTCAAATAAAAACGAAGTAAATCACACAATAATGTTTTATAATTACAGTATTTAACTGATCTCAGTTCGCTATCAATTTTTACCTTTAACGAGTATGTATGAAATTTTCAATTGAATTTCATATACAAATGTAAAGTAAACATCAAGATTACTGTCTTGTAGCATTAAGATAAGAAAACTCATTTCAGTATTAGTAAAATCGGTGAATCAGGTCGAAAATTTTAAATTGAAACATTAAAGATAATGAGAATTCTATGAATTAAGCACCGATAATATTGTCTAGTATGATAATGAAGGTTTCATAATCATAAAGCATTTACTTAGCTGGACAAATGTTACTACTAATAATAATCAATCAGTCGGTCAGTCAGTTACAACGTAGGACCATATTTGCATAGGTCCAAGTTACCATACCTCATTAATACAACAACATGAACACCGGATTCATTAAAGTAGTTAATTCAGTTGTGGTAATATATAAAAGAATGATTGCATATAAGGATGTAGTACAGGGAGAAAGAATTAGTACGTAGAATGAAAGATATGAAGCGATTTTAATCTCTTAGTTTAAGGGAAGACAGAGAGTGTGTACACCGACGCCATTGTGATCGATTTTGAGTCATGTCACCAAGAGTCTCCAACCATTGGTTACGATAGTCACGCGGACTCCAACCAAGTAGTCTGCATCTCCTAACATGGCTCAGACTAGAAGTTAGTGACTTCGAGCACTGATGCCACTTTTTGGTTTGTCCGCTCCTAACTTTTTCCAACCATCCCCAACACTGGTTAGGATTGCACGTTTTGGTAATCGGTGTTCAGGCCTACGTAACAAGTGGCCTAAACATCTCAGTCGATGAAGATTCATAACCTCATCAACTGATTTACCATCATTCCCTAATACCCTGTGTCTAACCTCACTATTACTTACTCGGTGATCCCAACAGACGTCAGCAATATTTCTAAGGCATATGTGGTCAAATACTAGTAGCTTACGATTATCTTCTACTCTTAGTGGCCATGTTTTGCTGCCGTAAATTAAAATAGAACGGACTGCCGCGCAGTATACTCGTCCTTTTATTGATAGACGGATATCTTTGCCTTCGCCATAGGTGACGTAAGTTGACAAAAGCCGAACGACCTTTTCGAATCCGTGCTGAGATTTCGCCAGACACCAACCCATTAGGGCTGATCAAACTTCCAAGATAAGTGAAGTTGTCAAACTATTAATAATAGTGATAATAGTAATAATAAGAGCTGCAAATAGAAATACTATTTATTTTTTCTCGTGTATTCTATTAAATCAAATCATTTAATTCTTACAAATGCTTCATAAGTAAATGATCAAGGAGGTAAATCGTTAGAAAAACAATTTTAATCACAAGTTGATATTCATTGGAAAATGGAAATGTTTGTAACTTTATGTTAGTCGAACGTTAGGAGAATGAAGATAACATTGTAATCTAACTTTCAAATAGTAAGATATTTTAACGAAATCATCACAATAAGACCAATAATCAGGTCAAAGTGGAAAACAATCCAAGTAAATTTACAGATAATGATATGTTAAAGCTAATCAAGTCCAAAGTCAGTGGGACAATTAACCAATTACTCGTCGAGAAATTCTCATAGTTCACTTCTGTTTGAAGTTTGTCCTTTGAATTTTGTCTAGAAGCACTGAAAGTATCATGGTTTGGCCACTCATTTCTAAGAACGCAATCTTTGCGAAAAAAAAAGAAATCACTCTGTATGGATATTGAATATGTTCACATTACTCAGTAGTTTTAAAACAGATTTCATAAAGTTCTGGTCGAAAATTGTGACTTGTTGACTACTATCGATATTGAACGAGGTTAGAAAAATATAGACCACCAGTATTAAACTTACCGTAAAATATGTTGATAATAGGTTTAATCGCGTGAGAAATTGCGGCGAGACCATAGTTTATAGACGACCATTGAACGAATCTTTAGTGACCTTGAGAAATGTTAGCCAATCAGAAAACAGTTAGTACAAAGTAAAATTTATTATAAAAAACCAAAGAATTAAAGTGGATATACTTCTTTTGCATGGTTCAAAAACTTATCAAGGTTTGAAAGAGGTTCAGAGGTTCTGAAATCGTAACGCATACGGTAGAGGGACTCATCCATATGGCTCCATAATAGTCGACCTTTCGGGCTATGATAAAGTCGTAAATATTCCTTTAACCTCGACCACATAACGTCAGTATTGTTAATGTGCCCTCCTGTTGTAGGGTCCACAAAATGGCGCTTGTGGACAACGAAGTGATGCATATAATCAAATCTATGCAGGCATAGATAGGCTCTTCAATCATCCGTATATATTGTAGTACCCGGCTGTACGTATTCCCGTATAATTGGTATTATTGTGGTTTCTTGTCGATTTCTGACCCTTTAGAAGTATCTTTTTTAGATTGGTCTATCATAAATTCCAAGTACATGTCAGGTTTATTTATGGAAGTGCTACTTACCCAGTTTTCCTTAATACTACATCTTCTGTTAAATTTTCGCTTCCCCACTACTGTTTCCTCGATTTTAACGATTCTCCCAACTCCTGCAAACGACTCGTGTAAACTTGTCATTTTTATTGCGCATATATCTTTACATTACTCATACCACTGGATAGCTGAAGCTTCAGTAACGTCTGCAAATGTTGCAGCCAGTGCTACTGGTGCTTTAATTATCCGATTTGCAACAATTATCATGATTTGGTACAGTCTCAATCGGGATCGAGTGAAGAAAGTTCCTATTCAAGCAGACTTCTTCCTCCAACATAAATAACATCCAAAGACAATCTCATCACGGTAGTCTGCACACGGTAAAACAGTCGTTTGATTACCGCGGTCAAAAATAAAGGAACTTCCCATCTATTGTAGCGGCTCAATTATCACTTCTCTAAAATCCACTGTAAACCGATCGTACATGAGCATCAGGTACTGAAAATGACGCAGTGACCTTGAGATTCCTCAAACACTTCTGATTGGCTCGTCCATAAATTATTGTCTAGCCGAAATCTTTCGTGCATATTACTGATAACTTTGAAACTCGCACAGAATAACTATCCAGAATTCTACAATTTGAATGATCAATCAACGAATACCAGATCGTGATGAATTTCTATTATTTAGTCATAAATTTGTTTTCCGTAATTTGAAAGTGATTTAGTATTACTATGATAGCCATTCTTAAAATTAATATAATTTACTTATTCTACATAAGGTAGGATTAGTTTTCGACTTTCTCCGACTCTTCATAAATTCGCAATGCGTTTTAATGTCTTCATTTAAATAATTGGTAGAAGTTTGTTAAGGATTATTGAAGACTAGTCAAAATTTTGTACATTTACATTGGGTTAACTTTTTTCTGATTTTCAGGCTTATTTAACAATTTACCTTTTACATTCATTACGTTTACCTAAAATTACAATGGCTTTAGTTCCTTTAACAGTTTACCTGACAAGTATTGCTACTACTATGGTACAAAAACCAATACAAGATCTTATCAGTCGTGAAGTAAGTTCTTGTGTTTACTATTCATTTTCAAACATACATATCAATTGATGTTAGTCAAAATAATGTAAGAGAATTGAAAAATATTCATCGTTTCAAATTGTTACACTATACATCTCAGCAATAATGAGAAATCAATAAAATTCATAGAAGATTACTTGAATCAATAGTTTATTTTTAATATAATGTTGTGAAAATTGTTGAATCACATTGAAATCATGAACCGATCTAAGTTAGACTATTTTAGAAGACCTAGAGAGATTAAAACGGCCGTTTCTTCCCGATATGGGACTCCTCAGCACTGCGTGTCCGAATCTCTGTAACCGAAAATCGTACACAGGATCTTCGATCGCACGTGAAGAAGCTTAAATTCTAGACCACTGAGTCAACTGTGTCAAATTCTAACCTCAACCAATCCACGACATTGCACAGCTATCTTTCATCGTCTTTACACCCGCTACGGACTAGGTTCACTGGCTAAGCTTATTGCTTATTTTTAAAACAAGGAACCACTACAATTTCCACGATGCGAAGTAATAACACGAAAGACTGGTACAACTTCAGGTTTATTCACCCTGAAACGTTGACGACAACTGTCGTTGAAGATACACTTAGTCATATATTACTGTGTACAAACAATTGATTATTATTTATTAAAAAAGTCACATATATGAAAAATACCCAGGATAATAAAAAACCACATGGTCCATATCATGCTGAACATACTTTAAGGTTAATTTAATGCATAGAATATCATGTTTTCAATAATCATCACATTGAAACAAACCAATTTTAGACTGAATAATATAACACACTGAATATCAAATAAATATGACACCAAATAATCATCATATTAGATTAAAAATGGTAATGATGAACATGGATTGAAATGAGTTAAAAATGTGATTTTGCTTTTTTCATTCAGTCATATCTTTTACTGATATGTTTATATCATTGTTTAAATAAATATTTACACAATCCTCGTGGTTTACAATAAATCAACAGAATTCTCGTTTTCAAAATGAAGAGTTTTAATTAAGTATTGTTGTGTATGTTACTAATATCGATAGATGTAAGTAGTATGTATCAATAATCGAAAGTGAAATGCCTGGCGACAAAAGGTTGAGAAGATTGATGAGAAGAGAATAAGAATGGCGAATGATTGATGTGGAAATGAAGGAGCAATGAAGTCTAAGACGATTGACTGATATTTTACAAATTAAGTATTTCGAGTATGGTTCTCAGATTTTACTAAGAAATTCTGTAATTTAGTGTTTGAAAACATTCGATTGTTTCAACTTGTGTTCTCGTTCACTACAGTATAACAAGAGCACACCAATCTTTACGATTATGCATGCTTTATTTTGTTGATCATCAGCTTTGAGAAAAGTTTGGTAATGAGCACTAGTGACAGAAGTTTTTCTGTAGTTTTACAGAATCATCAATCGACTTTGATTAAAACAGCAACTCAATTTGTTTAATATATCTCATTATTTCAACTTAGGGAATTGTAAACATCCAGTTTAATGACTGTTATTTTCTGTACGTGTTTTTATGGTAGGATAACGTTGAGAACGTAAATAAGTTTCATTAACAGAGTGTATCCTTGAAATTCAATCAGGAAAGTTTTTGACTATCTCTGGGTGTATTTAATCGCAGTGACAAATCCAATAGTTTTCACTCACTGCTGTACACCCAATACAACTAAAGAATTGTTTCACAATCTAATAATTTATATCTCCGACTTATCAATCATTCAATGTAGCTGATGAATCTCCGTTTTACTCTCAGCATGACTGTTAGGTAATCTATTTAAGTCAACCGGAAACGCTGAACCTAGGATTCTTAGAAATTGTCGCTTTCTAGTTAGGAATTTCTATAGTCTTAAAGGGATTGATGCTCCCTGATAAATCAAAACATGAGTCACCCGATTACCCATTCTGAACCGTTACCAAACACTTATGCAAACAGCTATTGTGCTCCTGTACTAATGAGATGTTTACTTTGATTAACCATTGGAAAGTTTATCCGTTCCTTAATGCTGATCAAATTATATTGATCATATAGTAATATGACTGTTATTCATTGATCCTTACAAGAAGATCATGAACTCATCTAGAAGGCAGTAATGACATGTTTTTAAATATAATACCCAACAACTAAATTCAGAGTCTTATTTTTCTATTTCCCTATAATTTTTTTTTCTTTTCAAATACTTTTCCATTTTATAAATCTTTTTTTTTTTGGATTTTTCAACAACAACAAATATTATCAACTTACAGACAAATACTGGAATTGGATTAATTTTTGTTACAATATTTTGTATATTAGTTAATTATCCTGGTAATCCACCAATAATTTATCGTATATATATTGCTGCTGGTATACTTGGTATTGGTTGTACTATTATATTAATTACATCATTAGCAATGGTATCAGATTTAATAGGAAAATATCAACAATATGGTGCATTTGTTTATGGTTATATGTCATTTACTGATAAATTAGCTAATGGTATTGTTATACAAATTATTGAATTATTATGGAATGAATGTTCATCATTAACATATTATCAAAATGTTGAATCTTATGGTATTGGTACATTTGTTCTATGTCAATTTATTTTTTTATGTTTATATAAATGGCAAAAAACGGTGTATATTACAAATGGGAATATAATTCATGAACATGTATAATTTTTGATGAATATAACTATTGAATTGGTTTAGTTTAGAGTTAGTTTAATATGATTTATGCAATATGTATATTCATTAAAGAATTTTATATTGAATTGTTTACTGATTATGAGTATACTTATTTTTATAAGTCATTTTACAATTTATCTTTCCTCTCTCAACCTCTTCTTCTCTTCTCTGTCTCTCTCTCTCGCTCTCCTTCTTGAATGATACAAAAAGGTAAATTGGTTTCTGTATGTAATTTAATTTTAAAAAAAGTAATTCAATAAGCATTTTACTAATGAACTTATCAATGATTATTATGTAATAAAATACATTATTAAACTCAATGGCTTATGAACAGTGTCTTATCTTGTTTGTTACAAACTGTAATGAATAAATTTTTCTTTCTCCAAATGAACAATTCATTTCTACTTTTGTTTTCTTTCATCATCAATAAACAATACGTATCAATCATTGATTGATTTGATTTGATAATAAGATTAAATATTGAATTATTCTATTTATTGTAAACTATGTATTGTAAATTATCATTTTTATTTTTGTTATAATTTGTCGTTTGAATGATTATTGTCTTGACTCTTTTAATGCTACTTTTTTTATCTGGTCGTCACTGACTTTTCTTTCTGTTACATCCATTTTTATTTTATTTTAAACTTTACATTGATTTAATGTATTAAAGGATATTAGTTTAAGTGAAGGAAAAAAAAGAAGGAAGCGGCAATAATCAAAAGAGTTCATAACTGGAAACGACTAATTCTTATGAAATTTATTGCAATAACCAATCGTCTATGTAATTTTATTTTCGTTTTAATTTTACAACCATTGAATTACAAATTGATTACTATTTCTCTCTTTCTTTGTTTTTATTTTTGGCAAGACTATAATTTGTATATGAACCAATGAACTTAGAGGCAGCATGTTGTGGATTTTGACGCAAAATTCATTTATTAATATGATCAAACAGTATTTTGACACGATAGCTAATGTCAATTCTTAACTCTGATTTATAACTAAAGATCCTGATCTTAATTATGACCGCTTTTTATTCTCACAAAGTGGGTAGATATTCACAAGGTCACTTTAGCATCACTCAGAGATCATCCATAAATTATAGCCGACCATTCATTAGAAGAGAAAATACCAATATATATATATATATATATATATATATATATATATATATATATATATATATATATATATATATATATGGTTAGATTCACTTGATGTTTGATATGGATTGAACTACTAATTGCTAATGTATATGTTAGATGAGAGGAATTAAATAGAAAGAAATGTGTTTTCATTCCACTTGTTTGTTTGTTTGTTTTCAAAGAAAAAAACCTTCAAGGGAATATCTAATACAGTGAACTATTTATTTTTATCTTCCATATTCTTCTTTTCTTTTAAATAAGATTTTCTTCCACATTAATTTTTTTTGCCACCAAATGCCCTGGTATGGCCGAGAGCGGGGTGGGTTCGCCCTTCCTCTCGAAATACTCTCACACGGCCACGCGTATACAGCCTCTGCCAGGGAAGTCCTACTCACTGCCTTCTCGTGGCGGGGGTGCTGTTCAAGAAAATGGGAGGATGGAAAGCGAACGTCCGGCGCTTTAACCCGATTCCAAATCAATGGTGCACATGGGCTCCAGTATCCTGCGGGGAACAAATGGCGTATGAACCAATTGTTGGTCACCGGCTACCATGGGACTCCATCGCCTTACGATGCTCCACTGCCTTGTGGGTTAGACCATTAGGTCAAAGGCTCGGAGTGCGGCCCCCTAAGAAAACCATCTGCTTCGGTTTGGGCACCCGGGCAGTATCACAGCCCACACACAACTAATGAACTGGTATCATCTTATGTATATTTGAAATTTATTTTGTTTATTCCAATACGAAGTACTCACAGTAATTATAATGATTATGAGTACGGTTCCTTTTGTTCCAAAAAAAGAAAACGTTTCTTCTTACATCATGATTGTTTGCCTATAAACTTTTAATGTAAATCATATTTTATGTCATTTACATTTTTCTATTGTTTAAATAAATTTGCGGGATTTTTGTTTTTTATTTTTAAAGAAATTAATGATTGAAAACTAGTAGATCTATTATGTTCATTCTAATTTGTTATGTATGAAAGAATTTCATACCTATCAATATTGTTACTATATTGAATGGAAGTTATTCAATGTTTAGACAATGAAGGATCGTACTGTTTTTTTTTATTGAAGATGTTTGTATTATATTCTACAATCCAATCTAGTAATGATACATGCTTCTTATATCATGCAAAATCATTCCCTATACAAACGTGAAGAGTAATAATTAATTAATAAAAAGACAGGAGATCAGGTAAAGGTATTGTATAAAGGATTCAAAATGATCATATTACTGACCACAAGTTGACGATTTGGATTGAATTGATTCATTTAATAGTTAGGTGCTTTGTCAGATATTGCATTCCAAAATGAGTATACACTCATGTGGATTTAATATGTCTATATTGAACACTATAAGACCTAGGGTAGTTGCATAGGTTGCTTCGCTTATGATATATTATATACACTGTGACCTTGAGATTAAGTATGAGCACAGGCTAGTAATATGTTTATGCTTGTTGAGTATATCATTTACTCCTCCTTGAATAGATATCCGTTAATCAATAACTGATTTAGATAAGTCAAATGACGAGAATGGATTTCCGTATACATATATTTTGTATGTAGAGTGAATGCGACAGAACACAGCAAAAAGGACGTGCAATGGAGATGGCTGGTAAGCCAACTCCATTTCTAGCCAGGCGTTACGCAATATTTATAGGCAGACAAAATAAACTACAGACATGCGATGAGACATAGGATATGAAGTGTACACACATATACGCTCATATAAAAACAGTCAAGACTGATAAGCGAATAAGTGACAAGGTCAAAATATGACTGAAGTATAATGAATAGATTGGTTTGTTCAAAAACTAGAATAAGATATATTATGGGCTTAGAATAATGACTGACACTACACATTAAACAAGTAACCAATAGAACTGAATGGGAACTGAGTAGCTATTTGCACTGTAATTTTTGACTTCTCAGGAGTCGAATTCCTACCGCAGTACAAATCTAGAGCCATCAAACCACATGTTTAGCATGGTATCACAACCATTGATTTAGAATACGATGGTCCCTGTGGTGTTTGAATTGATTGATGATACTTCTGTACATGTTGATGGCTCGATTTCGAATTCCAAATGCAGTACATTCGTTTGTGCTTGTGTCTTCTTAATTCAATTGCGTTATTTCTTGGACTCTTAGTTAGTGCTATAATTCAAATAATTCGAAACATTATGGTCCCTTTGCTCTGCTTTATTCAATTCAGTATATAGTTCAGAAATTATCCGACATTTGATAAAGTAGACGAATGATATTGTGACGAAAGATGAAAATGGGGATCTCCTAGTGAAATCTGAAAACTATACAGTAATACTTCATTTGCAAAATACTAATCAACTTTCACAGACTTTGTTGTTCCTTCGTTTCCATACCAAACGTTCTCTGTTCTCGTTCTCTTTTCTTCGATCTTCTCAGCCTTCTGCCCCCAGGCATTCCACTTTCGATTGATGATATAAGCTAAATATGTCTGTCGACATCAGCAACGCATACCGCAGTACACTATGTTAGTGTTTTGTTGTTATATCTAGAACTTTTGATTCTTAACATACCGCGTATAACCTGAGCACTCAGACGTCAGAACCCTCTCGAGTCACAAATGAAAAGAGAGAAGACAATTGAAATGAATGTTATTCCAAGCAGTGTCAATTATGTCAATTGGTGTAGCGTTCATGTTCTGCTGTGCCAAGTTTGCGTAGCAACGCTCTGACCTTTGCGGCATGATCAAATTTCTGTAGGTCAACCTTGAATGCATCTACTTATTTCTTGAACTATGATACAAATGTAAAATCAACCAAACCATCAAAATGAAATCCATGGATAGAATTAATAATGTGGTCTCTATGAGATTTGAAAGGATCATTTATGGTAAGTTAGATGTAATCATGAACAAGCCATTGTGAGTGAAGAGGTTATTCACTGTTCACATGTTTATGTATTTACGATTTATTCGATCAACATATGCGTATGGGTCGTAATTTTTACTTTTTTCCTTCTACACAAATTCTAATCTAACTTTCACACAGAAAAAGTTGAGAAACGCAGGTCAGATTATTTTTGATTAAGAGATGGTAAAGACAGATGGTAAGTCAAAGAATCTGCAAGAGTTTGGGAGTGTAAAATTTTCGGAGTAAAAATACAAAACACTGAGCATTTCACAAGAATTTAGACATTATTAGCTTCTTGTAGTTGGCCCTAGCTGATCAGCATCCATAAGATTAGTGAGTTATCTCTCTACTTGTAACAGAAGAAAAAGGACTTGTCACTTAGTAAGCATAATGTATCTTTAACCGTTGGAGAGATTCGGAATCTGGAAGTGAGCAGTATGAGAATAATGGCATAACTAATAATCAGTGAATAATGAGAGAGAGTAAATCATGTTTTCTGTCACTTGTTTATACTCATATTAATGACAATGGAGTCTTATATTCATGATATGTCTAGATATTAGGCGGTCGATAATAAATTGTCTCATTGGTGAGCGGATGTTCCGGGAATTGTTGATGAAGCCCTTTGGTGTCAAGGAATAGTGTTATTAGACTTTTGAATTTGGTAAAAATGTCACAGTTACGGATGGGTATTGACAATCTGTTGCACAATAAACTATGCTTTACTGTAAAAAACCTACAACGCATTTGTTTTCGGTGTTTTACGGTAAGTAGTGTACATGCGTTGTTTCTTAGTCTACAGGCTGGATCATGGATCATAGTTGGGCAGGAGGTTAGAAATGAGAATCTGTAGAACTATGGTCTACTATGATATTAGTACTGCTCTAATAATAGACCTAATCCTAAATTTGTAGATTTGTCATGATATAACTGCCTAATCCATAAGATCTTACGTGGAAGTCACACCATCGACTACACCAACTCACTGTATCGTATCAATTACCGATACATGATGTAGAACAAGGTTAGGCTAGAGAAGAAACAATATATTTAATATGAATAGAAGATATCAGATAACATTCAGCAGAGACCACGCCTGCATGGCCGAGCCATGCCGTTCGATCAACCCTAATTCATTCAGTTCATTGTCCGCGCCTTCTCCATCGTTAGGTATTTCTTCGCGTTAAATATTGAATACCTATTTTCCGAGTAATCTCGTATTCAGCTTTGAGGATAGTGTGGTTATGGTCCAATGCCCCTACAAATCCATATAATGCTTTGTAGAGTAATATTAGATTGTTCCTTAGCCTACAGTGCCATAAAGGTTCTAAAGAGAGGTGCTTACATCAATATATGTAATCGAGAGTGGAGTCACTTCCTAGCAGTTGGCATGTGAAGCGTCTTTGAACAGTTTCTAATCTTATGGTGTCTGTGGTATTCATATTAGAGAGGATAAAAGAGCAGTATTCAAGGGAAGATCACACACATATTTTGTAAAGGGTAAGCTTAGCCTCTGTTGTGAAGAAAATCTTCGTTATGAAACCAATTAGCCATCTAGATTTTGAAATAATAAACGAGGCATGTTCTTCGAAGTTTAGGCTTCCTGCGTAATTAATTCCTAGATCGTGTACCGATTTGAGTGTCTGGATTCTACTTTTATTTAAGCAAAGTTTAAAATCATACGAATGTTTTCTAAAAATGTATGATACCGCATTTGTTGAGGTTGAATGGTAATTGCCATTTTCCACTCCATATATTTAAGTTATTTATGTCATCTTGAATCTGGGATACACTTTCATTTAGAGCCTCAGGCTTACAGTTGTATACTATTTTGAGATCATCAGCATATAAGTATGGTTTCCAAAATTTGATGATGTTAAATATATGGTTTATATACATTAGAAACAAAAGTGGACCCAATACACTTTCCTGGATGACTCCACTAGTTATTGGGCTAGATGGTGAGAGAGAGACATTGTACTTTACTACTTGTTCACGTTCTGTTAAGAATGAAAGAAACCATGAATAAAGTGGATTGTTGATCCCGAAGGACTGTAATTTAACTAGGAGCCTTTTGTGTGGGAC